ACACACACACACAGGCAGACAGACCACCCCCAGCAGAACACACACCAATAATTACTTGCAGTAATTCAAAAAAAGGGCACCCTCCTTTTCTTCCAGGAGCTCCGCCGCCCGCGGCCTGAAACCGTGAGAAAGGGGAGGAAAAACTTCATCGCACAAGGACGAGGTCACGTCCAAATCTCACCAAACTGCCCCCAGAAACACACCTGAGCGCTCGGCGTCGCACCTCTTGGTTTCTGCAATAGCCGACGCCAAAAAAACGACCACCTGAGCTGGTTTTAGTCGTCTGTCGGCACTCTGAAGTGACAGGGAGATGAACAGAGCCTCGGGAACCTCTTTTAGCAGCCCTGTTGGGGGGGGGAACCCTTTGACCTGAACCCCCAAAACCTGCTGCATTACATTAAACAGAGGCTTTTTCATTAGTACGTCAGCTTCAAGCAATAACTTTCTGTACTCTCTGCAGAAGAAGAGGAGGAAGACGTCAAAGCACAGCGATGTAGTGGTACCTGGAGACGTGGGTGTACTCTTAATTTGTATTTTATAAACAGCATCTGCACCATATCCCTTAACTACTGCTAAATTGACACTTAGCCACATGAGGAGGTGCAGATTTTGCCGGCGTACGAGTGAGAAACTACATAATTGTGCATTTTAAGAGACGTATTCCTCTTTTCCTTCCTCCATCCACTCATAAAAAGGATGAAGGATGAGCACCAGAGGGGATTTTAGAAGTGGGTACACTCAATGTGAGTGGGTATATCCTTTTTTTGCCCTTATTTTTTAAAGCTTTGGGTTGAAAAGTTGAAACCAAGCTTTCTGAAAAAAGCACATATTAACAGTCACACAAGGCTGCAAAACAAAAAAAACTTGACCACAAATGCTGTTTTGGTGGAGCTGTTTTGCAAGCAACCACATCCTTATGAAATAAAATTCCTTAAAGCCAGTCTGAGTGTGATACTGTGCAAACATAAACCCCAAAAAACAGCAAATACAGACATAAATATAAAAAAAAAGGTGCAAATAAATCAAAATAAAGTAGCTTTAGGCACTTTTAACCAACTTTAACCAACTTTAAGCTCATTTAATTGACATTACGCGTATAAAACACACATATTTATTGTGTTATGTGTTATTTATAGTCAGTAAAGTTAACTTACTTTGGTGATGATGAGCGGCTCGCCGTGCTCGAGCCCGCCTTTCAACGTGAACCCCCAAGGCGCGCCCCCGCTCAACTGGACCTGAATGTGGTGGAACGACACGAGCTGCTCAACCGTCTCCATTCTATTCCTCCGTTCCTTCCGGTGCCGTTTTTATCCGTCGGGGTTTTTTTATTTTTATTTTATTTTGTTAAATTTTATTTGTCTTCACCTTTTCTCTCGTTCGCTTTAACTTAGCGGTGCCGGCAGCGGCCCCTCGGCTTCTCCATCACCCGCTCTTAACAACAACAACGAGTGGATGGATGGAGGGGTTGAAGGAAGGAGTGAGTGGAAGAGAGAGAGAGAGAGAGAGAGGGGGGAGGGAGGAAAAGTTTTGAGCCAGAGTCAAGCGAGTTACGGTCGTAGCCGACGAGGAGGTCGCGACTTCCGGTCAAGTAGTTTTGAACGGTGATTAAAAGTAGACGTTAGCGTGTTTTACACTCATAATGTCGTTCAAACACGTATCACACGATCCTGCCGGTTGTTTCGTTTCATATTTTCTACTAATAACCAACTTATTCGCCCCAAAATGACCAGGTGTAACGCTTTTATTTTGACATGCAGACAGTGTATTTCCGGTTACGTTGGCTAACTTGACGCAGCTTCTAAACTTCGGGGGAACTTTGGGAATAGCGTGTTCAGGCGGCCCCGCCCACTATTGGAACGGCGGGGATGTGATTGACAGAGAGCTCCGCCAATGGGAAGAGAGGCTCTGGCTGAATGTGGCCAATGGGAACGCGAGGAGTGGGCGGGGCTAACACATTGCAAACAACCCGCTGTATTGTAACAATAATATTTAAAAGGCTGTTGAACAAATATGACAGCAAAAAAACTACAACTCCCGACAGGAATAGTGTTATTTATTTATTTATTTTGGCTACTATATACTCACTGTATGTGGTGGAAAGTATAAATACAGTTTTAAGGCACTTATTGTTATTATAACGTAATATTTTCACTTGGTATTACTTGATACATCCACTAGTCTACTTACTAAACTTTAAAGATTATTACACTGTAAAAACCCGGTGAGCGAGTTCAACTCAAACTCTCTGAGGAAGTTAAGTTTGTTAACTTAAATGGCTTAAAAAAATGTACTTCTTACTGCTATAACTTGTTTTTATGTGACTAAAATCTTTAGACTTTAGGAATTGATGCATACTTGGATATATGATGATTTATAAACGGAAATAAAAACAAAAATTAAACATTATATTCCATTTTTGTAGTGATCTTACAACTTACTTCTTACGTAGGTACGTTTTTACAGTATACATTATAAATTGTTGAATTGTTGCAGATTTAACTTTCCAATAAACTCATTAAAAGCAATGGTGGGATGTAACAAAGTATTTATTTACTCAAGTACTTTACTTAAGTTCAGTTTTAACATACTTTACGTGGGTTCTATTTTTATTTACTCATTTCGGAGGCAAATATTGTACTTTTTCCTCCACTAC